TGGTGACTACAAAACAAGCCTTTGCTGATTGTCAGCGTACAGCTGCATCTCACCCAAAGCTGGTGAAACATTTGACAAGAACTTACTTAAAGGTAGGCTGAGGCAATATGTATTAGCTATATTTATTGATTTTTTTTAATTTGTGCATAAATATTTATCCAAAGTTATTTGATAATCACAGTAGATTTTGATAAGAGATTCTTGTTTGATTTCTTTAGTTCAAATAATATATTAAAAAGAAAATAATTCTAAATGATCAGTTCAGCCCATCATGACCTCCAGGAGGGCTGTACTAAGTCTTGGAATTGCTTTTATTTTTTTATTTATTTATTTATTTTTTTTTTCTTAATGCCAAAGTGATACAAAGATTAGCAGATTATTAACCATGTGGCATAGCAAAAGGGGAAAAGGGGAGGTGGAGTTTGTGAGGGGAACAGTCCCACCAAGCCCTAATAAAGATGCAAGAAAAGAGGCAAAACAATGCAGGACCAATAACAAGCATCTCTGAATCCCCTCCTCCCTTTTGGTGGGGCGGGCTGGGCTAGGTCTAGTTTCCACTGCCTTTAAGTCGAGAATAATCACCTGTTGCAGTATAAGATAACCTGTATTTTTCATTTTTCAGAGTGACTTTGAGTATTTTCTTTCCGAATTTACGTGTTTGTTGAAGAAATCCCTTATATATGGAGATAAGCAGCCAGCTGTGGAAAGGACACTAAACTTTGTGGCTAAATTTGCAACAAGTAAAAAATCAGAAACTGAAGAAAATGGGAAGGAAGAGAAAGCAAAAGAAGACAATGATGAGGAGCAAGAGGAGGAGCCAGAGGAAGCAGATCCTTTCCTTGTGAAATTGATCCAATTTCTACTAAATGTAAGGACAGTCTAAATTGATAATTGTAATTGAGATTGAATATCCATATTACTTTTATCTTAATTTCTGATTGATTTGCATGACTGGCTTGTTAGATACCACAAAGAAAATTTCTTGGATATAAATGTTTTGATGGAATAGCAGATTTTATTAAATAGATTATTGTTTATGTATATTGTTTATTGATTGTAATTCTTCAACCCTTAAGAATCATGAGGCCAATAGCCAAGCTGTGCGCTTCAGAGTCTGTCAGTTGATCAACAAGATCCTTAACCACATGGGTGAGGAGGCAGTCATAGATGATGAGCTCTACAGCAATATCTATGACACAATGTTGCACAGGCTGCAAGACAAAGTACCAAGTGTGCGAGTCCAGGCAGTGTTGGCTTTGGCCCGTCTCCAGGATCCACGTAACAAGGAGTGCCCCGTAATCAAAGGTGTGTTACCTCCTAAAAGTTACTTGGATGTATATTATTTGGAAAAATTCTTGAAGGAGATTTTTACCTTAGACTTCCAGGAGGAAATTTGAAAATCATTGTTAACTTGTCAACTTTTTAGGGTTATTGATAGAATCTTTAAAATGTGGAGACTTAATAGATGTTTTTTCTTCAGCATATCGTTACCATCTGTCAATGGATCCAAACAGTGATGTTCGACGAGCTGTTTTGACAAGTATAGCCATCACTTTCCAGACTCTTCCTGATATTCTGGAGCGTACTCGTGATGTACGAGATCTTGTCCGTCGACAGGTACGCACCTTCCCTTAAATATACATGGTAACCATTTTTTAATGAATTCACGTCATGCAGTATATCTTGATTTATTATGTACAGCCATACCATGTCAAAATTTGAACAGCAGACACTATTTCATGAGGACTTTGTTTAATATTTTGTTCATCAATTTCCAGGCTTTTGAAGTGATATCCCGAAAGGTCCACTTGAAGTCCCTGACAATTGCTCAGCGAGTTCGCCTCATTGCTGAAGGGCTGACTGATCGCAGTGATGTAGTTCGAGGAGCAGTGGAAAAAAATCTGATCCAGTCATGGCTGCGCATGGTCAATGGAAATGTACTCGATCTGCTTTCTTGTCTTGATGTTGAGACTGCTGTCAAAGAAGCTGAGCTGGCTCTTCAGTCCATGTTTCGTGATGTCCCATATGCTGACCTGATTGAAAACTTAGGTCTCAATAAGGAAACTAGAACCTTGGAATCAGGGGAATTAAGGCCTGAATCAGCACTATACTGGAGATGTCTTGCAGAGTATTTAAGGTTTGTGTGTGCAAAACTATGTAATATTTTAATTCTTTTCATGTTTTCCTGTTGTGCTTCTCTTAGTCATATATTAGACATGAAATATGATGCTACATTTAAACTGAAATTTAATGTAAATCCATTATCACAATCTCCAGAAAGGAAGGTGCTGAAGATGCCTTGGAACTATTGCTTCCAGAATTGACACACTTCTGCTCTTATGTAAACAACTTTGTAATGGTAGAAGTAATGGATGATGGTGACACACAAGAAACACTTGTCAGATGCATGGAGAGGGAGTTCATCACAACACAGCTTGTTTCCATTATCATGCTCTATGATTTGAGTGATGAGGTAAGATATTTGTCTAAAAGCAAAGACTATCTACTTTACAAACTTAATAATGCATGGTAGATACACAGTAAGACCAAAGTGAGGTTTGATTGCAAAGGTAAAATTGATGTGATTGTGTTATTTGAAAATTGGATTAGGTTAATCTGTCAAATTTTTATTAGGTTGGCCGACGAACATTAGACCAGCTTGTGAGGAGGTTGTTGGTATCAGACAAAGTGGGTGAAACACTTGTAAAGGGACTTGTTGAAGTGTTTGGAAAGTTGCACCCAGCAACCACACGTGTTAATCAGCTAGCAGAAATTATTTCTGAAATAAGAGAACCAGTAACCCGAACAGAGCAACAAGAACGCCCACTGTCAGATGAAGAACAACGGAAGAGAAAGCTGGAGGTGAGAAAATGTTCTCTTGAATGAGGTCTTTTGTTTGGATGTAAATTTTATTAGATAGTAAATAACCATTCTTTGTGTGCATTATATTTTTTACCATTTTGTCAGGCTGCTCGTGTGAAGGTAAAAATCAACCAGTTGCGAGAAGAAGTAGAGGAGTGTGTGCGCAGTCTTGATCTTGAGAGAGCTCAAGCACTCAAGAAGGAGCTGGAAGAGTTGGAGAAAGAATCATCAGTGATTGATCTAAATTTCTCAACATCAGAGGAGGTTTGTATACTATACGTATTTAATATTCCAATATATGGACATGTAATCTTAGTATAATATGGGCTTGGTTTAAGTGAAGATTGAAATTAATTAATCATATAGTCTAAAGCCATAAAGCAGTGAGGTTTGTGTTATTTTTTAATTTGGAGTGTTTGTTCATTGTTTTATAATGAATGTTCAGCTTTATCACAAATATGTTCATTCATTAACAGGTGATACAAGAGGAAAGAACAGATCCTACCACTCTCAGCAAATGCCTAATGATAGTGTCTCACATGATAGAGAATCCAGACATTATCGTCATGAATCCCACCTTGTATTCCTTGCATGAGAACTTGGTCTTGCCTTGTCTACGTTCAGAGGATCCTGCTGTTAGAAACCAAGCAGTTCGTGCACTTGGTCTTTTGTGTCTCATTTCAGAAGAACTGAGCTGTCAGCACTTGATTCTATTTATGCAGGTAAATAGATAGTCATAGGTATACTAATTAAGAGAATTGTTAAGTCTAGTGAGATTCCTAGTAAACACAACTTGAAAGACTTCATTCAGATCATGAAGCAGAAAGTAACAATTAGTTTTAACTTTTCTTACATCACTGTTATTGTATTTGTTTCAGGAAATGTTTAATCAAAAATGAAAAGAAAAAAGTCATGGGACAAATGTAGCCCCTGTATGATAAGAAGTACCTCTATTAACCCAATGCTTCTGGGTGGTTTCCCAATAGGAAAGCCTTTCTCCCAGGCTGTATTCATAGTAGCCTGGGCCCCACTGCTGGGGGATCTGTCAGCACCATAGTGTCAGCTGGAATATTATCCAGGCATGCTATGGCATGTATGTACATGCCATCCAGCTGCAAAGGGTTAACCACTATATATTATTAACTAGCCTAATTCCTCAGTATTTCATTTTTCCAGTCATGCCTGATCATTTTCTCTGTGCAGTGTGTGAAATGTAGGAGAAAGAGCAAATATAGTAATACTTTCATTTTTGTATACTGCAGATAGCAAGAATTGATATAGAGCAGATTCAACATTCTGCCCTGCGATGTGCAATTGATCTTATCCACCTGTATGGACTTGAGAAGTTCACTGAAGCAGCAGAAGATATTTGTGATATCACAGGTATCCCTTCATCCCCCAAGGAAAAGGAAAAAGAAAAAGAAAAAGAAAAAGATTCCAAAGATGGGATAGTGAGTGAAGAGGAGGGAGGAGCCATCATATCAGCTTTGTGCCAGGTAGATGATAATACTGATTTGTACGTAATGCGTCATGCGATTGATTAACCCATTTGATCCAGATACTTCACTGCCATCACATAGCCCAAAATAAGGGCATTGGGCTTACTTTGAGCGGCCATTCTTATGGCTGTGTGGCTTGTAGACCAGGGGCATTCATATGCAGAGACAAGACTCAAAGCCTCCCCTTTCAAATGTTTTTTTTTTTTTCATTCTTTCTTTCTGCATTTTTGTTATTTTCCAGTGTATGTTTGTCATTGCTCAGATTCCATATCATATCTCTAGGTAGTTCATGACTTGGTGCAAAAACAATAATAAGTAACATTTTGTAATTTTGATATTTTTTTGTAATATTCAATTTTATATAATGCAATCTGTGCCAGCAGTGACAGTGGCGAGTAAAAGGTTCCAGAGCTTGGGAAAAGCTTCCTCCTTGGACGCTCCTCCATTCATGGATTGTGAATGGTACAGTCTACAATCATTTATCGATGGAAGTAATGCTAAAGCTCCCTCCTAAATACCAATTGAGTCCAAGAAGTTTATGCACTTGTGGCAACTCATTCATGTCACCCTGGCCCACAGCTAAAATTTCACATGATAATATGTTTGTCACCTGCCCCTCAAGCCAAATTTTTTCATGACGTGATGGTCATGTCATCTGGATCATAAGGGTTCACATGTCTTGGGTTAAAACAGGATGTTAATGTATAGAATACAAGCATTCCTTAGATTGTGCAGTTGTTTTGTTTTGATTAGTAACGTGATATGTTTTGAAAAGTGTGTGTATATGTATGTATATATATATATATATATATATATATATATATATATATATATATATATATATATATATGTATATGTATATGTGTATATATGTATATTTATATTTATATTTATTTATGTAATATATGTATATATATATACATATATATATATATATACATATACATATACATATACATATATACACATACATATATATACATACATATACGCAAAAACACTAGAACATTAACAGTACCCATATATAGTTTTCTGTACATATGTGATTGGAAGTAATGGGTGTTGTTTGAAGATTTTTAAAACAATTTTTGTTATCCATGATTATATGTATGATAGTTGTATTTTATTAGTCATCTTAATGTCATGTTTATTGATCCTGTAACCACATGGCGCACACCTGAAATTTACACATGTTTTATTACTAGTTTCTTTGATGATAATGATTACAATATTTATGTTCAAGATGATGGACAGTGAGAATGCTGAAGTTAGAACAACAGCAGCTGAAGGACTTTGCAAGCTGTTGCTGGCATGCAGGATCACTTCAGCAAAGTTACTCTCTCACTTGGTCCTCATGTGGTATAACCCAATTACAGGTAAGGCAGTTTATACATGTTTATTTATTTCAGCTAAAAGCACTGCAGCAATAAAGTTTTATATTGTTTTATTATTTTTGATACAGTAATGCAGTTTTAGGTTTAGATATGTACTAAAAACAATAATTTTTTTTTTTTAGGTCACTTATAACTGCTTTGGAAATATATTTCTAAGGTTTGGGATACTAGAATAACAGATCAAAATTGCTTTTCTTTTGATCATAAAATGGTTTTACTTGTTAGGGTTCATGATTTATACTGAGCATTCATTAAGAAATGATGAATGAGTCATGTATTTTGATTTATTTATTCATGTAAGATGTTTTGTTGGAAAAGCTAGAAAAAAAATGTATTTGAGAATTTAATCACTAGCCCTACAGTCCAGATGATGTGACCATCATGTCATGAAACCAAAAAAAAAATTTTGGCTTAAAGGGGTAGGTGACCTGAACATGCCATCAAAATCTGGCTGTGGGCCAGGGTGATGCAATTTTCCTGTCATGAGCATTTCGGCTGAAGGCTGAGGTGACAGGATAGACCCCTTGAGTGCTCAAACCTCATTTGGCATTATGTAGGGCTTTTTGCATTATTTCCATTGATAAACAAGTGTAAAAAGTAGTGTCCGTGAGCCATGATTGGTTGAGTGCGAGGCTCCAGAGAGGATGCCATTTCCATTCTTAATATCCTATTCCTGGCTGCCTTGATTGATGGCACAGGTAGTATCACAAAGTTGAATATTATGAAAAATTAAAAAGAATGACAAATAATTAAATGTTACTTATTGTTGTTAGTTTACTGAATTAAGGATTACCAAGAGCAGTAATATGGAGCCTGTGCATGGAAGACAGTCTGTTATCTGGATAAAGCAAGTCAAGTGGCAAATATGGATTTTGTAGAATGGCAAAAACTATAAAAACACCTATGCGTAAAAAGACAACTGCAAAGGGGGGCCTAGTGTGTTCACATGCACTTGGCCTACAATCCACACATCTGTCAGAACGGCCAGTCATGTAAGCCTAATGCCTATATTTTGGGCCATGTGATTGCAGTGAAACAACTAGTTCCAATGGGTTAATAATCACAAGTAGCCTACAAGGTCCACTGATTTCCCCTTTTGTTGCTCATCAAGGATTACTACATCAGAAAAGAAAAATGTACACAACTGAAGGTTTTGTCTTCAGTTCTTGTGCTTCTTTAATACTTGGTTTGTTTGTTAATATATCAAGGGCATAGACAGAGCCTATTCTATTAGGCTTTATGCAAATATTCTGTTGCAAGTGAACTGGAACTAATAGATGGGTGTATCTGATGTGAAATATCTCTCTTGCAGAGGATGATAGCTTGTTACGACACATGCTGGGAGTGTTCTTCCCCCTCTATGCTTCATATGGGGGCACTAACCAGGAGAGCCTCTGTGCCGCTGTGCTCCCCACTCTTCAGACGCTTTTCAATGCCCCAACGCGCTCCCCGCTTGCTGATGTTGATGTGGAAGATGTTGCCAATTTCTTGGTCTCAATCACTAGCCCTTCCATTATTGCTGATAGATCCAATGAGGTTAGTGGGGATTGGTGTTATGCAGAAGAATGGGTAGACTTTCTGCATTTTTTAAAGTTAATAGTGATAAGTTAATATACTTTACAGATTTTCAGTATTAATAGTTTCTTATGTATGTTATGTAAATATAAATTGATAGAAATATTTATGCTAACATTAATTTTACTATTGGGTTGATACTATTAATGTTATATTTATATGATTACTTGGTCTGTCATGAAATGGAATAGTGCATCCTGTAAACCAGAAATTCTCCATATATCTTTTCAGCAAGTGAACAATCATGACATACTGGTATTTACACTGTGCAGCGAGATTTTAGCCTACCCAGAGAGCAGCTGGAATAAACTGCTCATTCGATGCCTTAATAATCTCAGTCTTTCACCCACCAACTATTCTACCCTAAGACAAGTAGATGTTTTGGCAATGAAATTACTTAAGGTAAGTTTAACAGGTTTGTTTAATTTTATTTAATATTTTGTCTAAATAAAAGCAATTTAGGGGTATCCTATTTACAATATCAGGTTAATACATATTTGGCTGGTATCATGCAAAACATCAACATTTTGCCTTACATTTATGGTCTCATTTAGATGGCTAACCTAAATGCCAGCTAGTAGTTGTTTCAAAGAATGTATAAATGGAGAGATTAAAGAGATAATGAATATACAGTAACTTCAATAAAAAAATTCCACAGCGTGTTAAAGAGCGTGTGTGTATCAATGGCCTGGAGCGCTTCCAGCAGACAGTGCAGAATCTACTGAAGGATGCCCCAGAAACAGAGGTTACGATTAAAGAGGAAAAGCCTGATAATACTACAATAACAGAAGACTTAAGTGAAACAACAGGTGTGTGGAAGCTGTAGATCTGGTGTTTTTCATGAACCTTTAGATTCTATTTTAAATCATACAGAGAATACTAAGTATGTTTCGTTGACCAGTCAGCAAATTTGTATTGTGGACTTTTATTTTTCATTATATAGTATTGGGCAGAATGCACATGTAGAGGTGAGACCAAGTGTAAATTGTGTGTATCAATGGCCTGGAGCGCTTCCAGCAGACAGTGCAGAATCTACTGAAGGATGCCCCAGAAACAGAGGTTACGATTAAAGAGGAAAAGCCTGATAATACTACAATAACAGAAGACTTAAGTGAAACAACAGGTGTGTGGAAGCTGTAGATCTGGTGTTTTTCATGAACCTTTAGATTCTATTTTAAATCATACAGAGAATACTAAGTATGTTTCGTTGACCAGTCAGCAAATTTGTATTGTGGACTTTTATTTTTCATTATATAGTATTGGGCAGAATGCACATGTAGAGGTGAGACCAAGTGTAAATCAATTTAAGTTGAAACAGTAGCTTTTAAGTTTTTAAGTTTTAACAAAATTTGTATTTAATATATTTTGTTTGGATTTTTCCCAATGTGTAGAAATGAATACCCCTGGGAATAAAAGCATAGAAAACACATTCATGAAGAGAAAAAGAATGCTGTACAACACCACAACATTCTCAGACCCAGAGATGTTTTCAAGTGAAGTGAGTATTTGTCATCTTGAGCAAATGTTACTAAAATTAGATTTATATATGAAAGAGTACATAATTCATGCCATTATTTTTAATTTGCATCTCATGACCAAATATATTTATAACTATTATTCTCATAGTTTGTACCACCTAGTGGAATTTAGTTTTATTTGTTTTATCAGGTATTACTTATTGATATTTATTACCTCACAAAAAACATTTAATGTATCATGTATCACATAATAGTTTTGTCCGGAATGAGGAGCAGCAACTCTTTGAATTTGAAATTGAAATTATCTGTTTCTCATTAGTTACCTCTTATCCCTTCAGCCTGAGTCAGATTGTGAGGCAAGTCCCTCAAAGCGTATCCCTCAAGTGCCAGATCTGGTCCTGCCAGGGGAACTGAGTGATGTAGGATCACCCAAACTTGCAAGCACACAAAAGGATGTAAGTTTATTTCTCTTTAATGGCCTGATGGAGCTAGCTAGCTAGCTCTCTCTCTCTCTCTCTCTCTCTCTCTCTCTCTCTCTCTCTCTCTCTCTCTCTCTCTCTCTCTCTCTCTCTCCCTCCCTCCCTCCCTCCCTCCCTCCCTCCCCCCCCCCCCCCCACTCACTCTCCTATATTTAACTTGCATATAAGTATGAAAATTAACAAAATGGAATTTGCAGAAGTAATTGATTGTTAATTTATGTTCTAACAGGAAGGTGACTCAAAGGAAGAGGAGAATTCAAGAGTGGCTAACTTGGTCTCAGCTGAAGATGGTGAAGTTGAACTGTAAGTTGTCACCTGTGTAAATGGAACATGCTATTGATTACATGGGTTATTTTCCGTATTTATTTGGAGTAGACGGCTACAATGAGTTTTTTCCTTCTGAGCACCATCCATTAGAGTGCCATTACAGTTACAATTTGTATAGTCAATATAAAATATCAGAGTAAAGGGTTGCTCAATAATGTACAGCTAAATAGATTTTGGCTATTGCTCAGCGTTGAGGAAACTATTAGATTCTTTCTTTTTCTATTTCTTTTTCTTATTCTTTCTTTCTCCAATATATAGAAATTGATCTTCAAAGTAATCGTAAGGGAACTATGAATTGGATTAAAAACCTTTTTAGGTTGCATTTGATGGTAATCTTTTTGTTATGAAGGTATCACATTTTTTAGGTACTAATTGTGATAATTTATTAAATGCCAGAATTTTATTCTCACCGTACACCTTCCTGTAAAAGCAAAAGGATGAAGATTTTGTAAAATGTCAGTTAAGTGGTGGATGATTTTCATAGTCACAGGAACTTTGAAATTGTGACTAGATTAGCACTCACCATTTGACTGGCAGTAAGTCCTACATACACTTTGGAAGCTGGTCACTGTTTGGTGGAAAGTGGTTATAACATATATTATTATTTTATTATTATTTACCCATTGGATCCATGTGATGTTTCCATCATGGTGGGTTGGGTGATGGAAATATCCCTTTTTTTGCAATGCCTTTTTCATGAAAAGCATCTATCATGATACAAAATGCAAAGAATCCTTGTTTTATGTTACACTAGGTACTGGAGATTTGCTTAGTTTGTGTCACACACTTCTGTGAGCCAATATAGTCCCTGTTGCTCTAGTTTTACCATCTATTTCAATAGGTTAGTGCTTAAAGACAAGTACTGATGAGAGTTATTGCAGAGTATTACTTGAAAGTAAGAATAAAGCTTGTGAAAAATGGTTATGAGAAATGTACTTGAAGTTGGCATCATCCGTTTTCAGCTTTTATTGTATACCTTCCAAAAAGTGGATGTTATATTTTGTTGAAAATCCATCCTTGGAGGGGGGGAGGGGGAGACCTGGAAAAGTCCTTGAATTTCAGATTCAAATAGGGGAAAGAACCCTTACCTGGGAAAGTTACCACTTGTTTAGCCCAATGCCATTGGGAAAAGGAAATTAGAAAGAAATTAGAAATTAGTAGACTTTGTGACCTTACTTGATTTTACCTTTCCTTGAATTGGCTGGAAAAACGTTTTTTCACTAATGTTATGAATATCAGTAGAGCTAGTTTTATTATAAACATAATAAATACTATAATGTTATAAACATTAGTAACAGCAAAATAAGAGAACGTAAAATATTTCCATAAATCAAGGAAAAGGGTAAACAGGTAGTACTCATACTCATAAGTGTAGACATCTGTGTTAAAAAAATTAATAAAGTAAACTCACAGTGGGCATGGCATGTACGTACATGCTATGCTCGGTGGCATTGGGTTAAGCTTAATGCCAAGATTTTAGGCCATGTATGGGCAGTGAGGTATTCAGATCCAACAGGTTCATTTTTATTGCTGTAGCTATTATTATTGATATTTTTTATGTTACTCATTATGAGAACAAAAGAATTTATACTATGATTCTTTCTTTTTGTTTTGAAGAACGTTTACAAGTGAGAAGAAGGAGAAAGATGGCTCCAGTTCTGACTTGTTTGATTCATCCGATGGCACCCCAAAACAACCTACTCGTCGATGCAGAGCTCCAGGAAGCCCAGATTTGGGAAAAGCTGCCAAGATTGCAAGATCATCTGTGTAAGTCAAGTTAGTTTATGGTTTGAGGAATAGGCAACAGTTGTTTTTTACATCTTTATTTTGCTAAGTAGAAGTCGTTTTAGAATTTGTTTACAGTTTGTTTACATGAACCTTTTATAACATTTACTGAAAGAAGTAAATGATTTGCTATTAATATTCTTTTTTTATATATATACACTGGAAATTAATGTTGATCACAAACAATGGATTCTGTTTCCCATTCCAAAATATACTTTAGTTCATACATGACTAGATGCATTAACCATACCCATGACATGCCCAATTATGTGATAAAAGTAGATGTGTATAGTTAAATAGTCTTGCAACATTGAGTATTGTATTCAAATCAATTAGTATTATACTTACTGCAGTGATATGAAGCATTATAAACAGGATTCCTTTTACACCATTTTTGTCTGCTAGCATTTTAATTTTCTTGCAGTTTCAGGTTTCCAATACTTTGTCCATTATGTGATTTCCACATATAGGTATATATGTGTGTGTGTGTGTAATGTATGTATGTATGTATATATACATACATATACATATATATATTTATAGATTTTTATGTGTGTGTATGTATATATATGTGTGTGTGTGTGTGTGTGTGTGTGTGTATGTATGTATGTATGTATGTATATATATATATATATATATATATATATATATATATATATATATATATATATATATATACATATATACACACACACACACACACACACACACACATTTGTTTACTTACAATCTAAGCAAAAGTAGTATTTTTATTGTTGGTATTATTATTATTATTATTATTATATTCAGATCCTCTAGAGGAACTGATGATGAGGACACACCACCAAGATCAAGCAGAAGGCAAAGCAGAAAGAAGGAAGTGTCGCCTACCACAGATACTTCTCCAGCACTGAGAGGGCGAAGGCGAAACAAAAAAGAAACCACTACCACAGGAGAGTCAAGTGAAGAAGAAACCACTTTACCTGCCAAAGTTCCGCGTACCACCAGGTAGATTTTCCTTCCTTAACCCAACTGCCCTGGATTTGTGTTTTTTGTGAATTTTGTTACATACAGATGGTTCCACGTGTGCTCAGCCAGCAAGGAGTCTATCAGTAGGCCCTAGTGACTGATCCTGATTTCCCCATTCCTTGAATTGGCAGGGAAATGTATTTTCCTTTTTAATACAGTTGATATTGATACTGATATTATTGTCATTGATCTTATGATTACTGAATTCATATTAAAATCTTGGTAACACTAAAGACCCTTTCCAAAAGTCGAGGAAAAGGGTACACGGGTCATTCCATACCAAATCATCAGAAATTTTAGAAAATTTTAACCCTACCCCTCAGAATAGCCTCAAATTTGGTTTACTGATAAAGATCTATGAGTTAGAGAAGAATGTCAAAAATTTTTGAGAAATTCCATCTAGTTTGGATTTTATGGACCATTTCATTTTTTTGAAAATACCCCCCAAAAAGCTTAGGGCTAGCGATGACATCTTTGATGCATAAGTTAAAGTTATTTTAAACCTCACTGGAAAGAGATACATGGAGGAAAACAAGCACTAAAGTATTTTCAGGCATGTAGAATTCAAAAATAACACTTAGAAAGTCATATCTAGCACCAGGACAATGCTACCTTACAATAAACTGATGTAGGTTTCTGGCAAAATATTTTGGTGGTGGTCAAAAATTGATTTTTTTCCCCAAGAGGCATACCTTTTACAAACTTTTTTATTATGTTTCCAAAATCTACATAGAACAATCATGTAGTAGACCAAAAGGTAGCTTGGGGTCTTAACTCCTTCCTACTCAAATTGGGTTGGAAAATCTGACCATTTTTCGAATTCGCAACCTTCTGTGTAATGGTTTCTATAACACTACCCATCCTTGCAGAGTACATGTATCATTGGAATTTAGCTTGAAATCACAAATATTGGCTTTTATCGTATTATATAGCAAATTTCTTCAAAGTTTTATTAATTGTTTGAAAAATTATGTTTGGTAAAAAATGTCACTGAGCATGCTCCAGTAGATTATTCCCACAAGTGGTGCAAAGGATGCTTTGGTACATACTAGCAATCAAATGAAAATCAGTTGTCTGTAGGACCTGAAGTTATCACAAAACTTCTAGAAGACATCAACAATAAGGTGAGCAACTCATTTCCCTTTTGTCTTTGATAATGGAGGATTAATGCTCAAGTGTCTTTAAGACTCTCCTAACGGAAACATAGAGTCTTTTTAAGAGATACCTGTAACTCCTTGTGTATGGCTGTACTGCAGTGCTATGTGCTTAATTGCCTATAAAAATAATTTTAGTCTTTTCCAATAAATCCAAATGGATCAACTCTTACTCAGATTAATCATCAAATTTCATTATTTGAAATTGAATTTATGTCGTCTTCATAACAGATCTGGAATATTTTCAGAAAGTGTCCGCAGTTATTATGGAAAAGATGCAACAATGTTCTGTTGGCCTTGAAAGAGATCTCTTTCGTCGCTGTGCCGACTTCACAAGTTCCATCTTTATTAATCGTAAAGAACCTGAAAATAAATTAAGCAATACTTGATTTTGTAGTTATTAGTCAACTAAGCAAAATTTGTCAATATTTGCTATATTTACCAGTGCATATTCCCTTTTGTTCTGATGATATCACTATGTTTTGGGCTTGCTAAGATGTTTTCATATAAACAGATTTCCAACAAGTAATTTCATTTCTCTTTTGCTCTAAAATTGGCCTGTGTCTAGACAATGTGTTTAGATATTAGTAATGAAATGTATAACATGCAAGTAGCAACTCTAACCATGAGCAGGTTTTTTGTGTGAATGAAAAGGGTCACAGCATCTATCCTGGTAGGTCATAAACTTCACCAGATAAAACTGTTTGTGGTGAAAACAAACTGTATCTATGGAATTCTTCATTTCTGCTCTTAAGGCAATCAACTCTTTTTCTTCATCATCCAGTTCAGCAGCATTCATCAAACCAACACGTGAAGTAAAAGATTTCTTGTGGCATTCATCATCTCTTTCAAGGCCAACAGAACATTGTTGCATCTTTTCCATAATAACTGCGGACACTTTCTGAAAATATTCCAGATCTGTTATGAAGACGACACAAATTCAATTTCAAATAATGAAATTTGATGATTAATCTTAGTAAGAGTTGATCCATTTGGATTTATTGGAAAAGACTAAAATTATTTTTATAGGCAATTAAGCACATAACACTGCCGTACAGCCATACACAAGGAGTTACAGGTATCTCTTAAAAAGACTCTATGTTTCCGTTAAAGACACTTGATCATTAATCCTCCATTATCAAAGACAAAAGGGAAATGAGTTGCTTACCTTATTGTTGATGTCTTCTAGAAGTTTTGTGATAACTTCAGGTCCTACAGACAACTGATTTTCATTTGATTGCTAGTATGTACCAAAGCATCCTTTGCACCACTTGTGGGAATAATCTACTGGAGCATGCTCAGTGACATTTTTTACCAAACATAATTTTTCAAACAATTAATAAAACTTTGCTATATAATATGATAAAAGCCAATATTTGTGATTTCAAGCTAAATTCCAATGATACATGTACTCTGCAAGGATGGGTAGTGTTATAGAAACCATTACACAGAAGGTTACGAATTCGAAAAATGGTCAGATTTTCCAACCCAATTTGAGTAGGAAGGAGTTAAGACCCCAAGCTACCTTTTGGTCTACTACATGATTGTTCTATGTAGATTTTGGAAACATAATAAAAAAGTTTGTAAAAGGTATGCCTCTTGGGGGAAAAAATCAATTTTTGACCACCACCAAAATATTTTGCCAGAAACCTACATCAGTTTATTGTAAGGTAGCATTGTCCTGGTGCTAGATATGACTTTCTAAGTGTTATTTTTGAATTCTACATGCCTGAAAATACTTTAGTGCTTGTTTTCCTCCATGTATCTCTTTCCAGTGAGGTTTAAAATAACTTTAACTTGTGCATCAAAGATGTCATCGCTAGCCCTAAGCTTTTTGGGGGGTATTTTCAAAAAATGAAATGGTCCATAAAACCCAAACTAGATGGAATTTCTCAAAAATTTTTGACATTCTTCTCTAACTCATAGATCTTTATCAGTAAACCAAATTTGAGGCTATTCTGAGGGGTGGGGTTAAATGGTGATGATGATTTGGTATGGAATGACCCACACAGGTGAGATAGATAGGACTAATAACTGACTCCTTGGTGACTGTGCACTTGTAGAGCCATCTATGTGTAAATATTACAGTGGGCATGGCATGTATTCTTGCCACAAGTGCCAATTGAGTTAAATACAGGCCAATGGGGGGGTGGGGGGATGAAACATTGAAGACTTCTTTCTGTAAAATCAGTTAAAAGAATATTTATTTTCTTTTATTTTGGGGTGTATTTATGCATAATATCATTGTAAAAATACTTACAATTATTGCTCTCTAAGTGTTTATGAATATTCTACATTGTAGGACCCCAGGCAATAAAGAGAGTAAGGAAGAAAACGTCTCAAGTGGAAGAGTTACACGTAACAAAACTTCAGCAACTCCTTCCCAAGACACTTCCAGCAAATCAGCCTCAACTAGCAGAGGCAGACCATCAAGATCCTCAACAACTGTAGTACCTGAGACAGACTCATCGGCATCCAGTGGAAGAGCTGCAAAACAGAAGGAGGTAGAGGACACTCACCTGAAAGTCACTCCAGGCAACAGAAAGACCAAACCTGAGGCCGCCGTCAGTGAAACTCGCTCCGGTCGAAGAGGCAGGGGTTCAGCACAAAAGGATTCGCAAGTCATTGCAGGTGAATCGTTGCAGTCATCAACAACGTCTCGCTCAACGACAAGAGCTTCACAAGTTTCCACCACTAGTGAAGATACCACACCAGTGCGCAGGTCAGGCAGAGCTGCAATACTCTCCCAGAGGTAGGCAAATTACTGATAAAGCTTTACAGTTAAACATTAGATTATCATTTTGAAATAACACACACACACTCACTCACACTTCTATCTATATATATACATACACATATGCATACATACATCTCTTATCTGTGTATATATATACATATATATATTTACATATATGTGTGTATATATATATATATATGTGTGTGTGTGTGTGTGTGTGTGTATGTATATGTGTGTGTGTGTGTGTGTGTGTGTATGTATGTATATATATATATATGTGTGTGTGTGTGTGTGTGTGTATATATATGTGTGTGTATGTGTGTATATATGTGTGTGTGTGTGTGTGTATATATATATATATGTGTGTGTGTGTGTGTATGTATGTGTGTGTGTGTGTATATATATATGTATGTGTGTGTGTGTGTGTGTGTGTGTGTGTGTGTATATGTATGTGTGTGTGTGTGTGTGTGTGTATATATATATATGTATATGTATATTTGTGTATGTATATATATGTATATGTATATAATGTGTGTGTGTGTGTGTATGATAGCTCAGAGTTTGATGATTAATTTTTGGAAAACATGCAAGTTGTGTAGTACTCAGACAGCCTTAAATACCAAATGTTCAGTATTATGGTGGACTTACAATTTGTTTTTGTTTTTTTTTTTTTGTTTTTTTACATCAGTACGGACTCAGAGTCTGAGAGGACCCCAACCCCAAGGAGATCAGCACGTTCTTCAGCAACCAAGGAAGTAAATAAGAAGAGGAAATAGAAATTTATAGTGTGTAATATATATATACAAAAATATTATCTTTCAAGAGAAACTAAACCATACTTTTTTGGTTAGGATAAAAGAATATTTGTACTATGTGCCTAAATTATTATTTTTTTTTATACCTGGTGTTTGATATTCTGTAAGGAAGTAATTATAATTTTGATATATTTTAGTCAACTGTTGTGTGGTCAAGAGAATGGTTACATTGCAAAAAAAGAAAAATATGCATTCCTTTATTTTAATGGAACAGTAATTTGCAAACTAATGGATTTTAAAACCACAAGTCCAGAAGTAGCTAGACATTAAATTTTTGTATGGAGTAGCTTTCATTTTTTTTTTATTATTATCCATAATTGATTTTAAAAATCAGAAAATGGTTTACCAGTTTTCTCTTTATTACATCATCCAGTACATTTATTATAT